CCCCACCCGGCAAGTACGTATCAATCAATGGATCGATCGGTCTAGTCACCCACCGGCATAAAGGTATCCGTGTGGACAGACAGATAGATGGACAGCCCCCTGTGTACACACCACACCACACCACACCACGCCACACCCTCTCTGCACCCCATTTCATGGCGACCGACGGCCGTCTGGTCCTTCCCCTCACTGACCCCTCACCCTCCGCCCCTGCAAGCAGCCATCCCAGGCACACTTCCATGCCGGGGAGGCTTCTTTGCACAAACAGAAGGGAAGGGGACCGCAGAGGGGTACACCAGGCCCAGGTCACACATCACCAGCACCCCCCCTCTCTCCACCCCCCCTCTCACAGCCTCGCTCGTTTCCTGCTGGCCTCGAGTATCAGCTCGGACGGGCGGACGACCTCTCGGGCGTTGCTGTACCACAGGTAGTCCGCCAGCGGCAGCGGGAAGGGGCCACGCGTCTGAACACGGTCACACAGAGAAGGGCGAGAAGGGGGGGATGGGGATGGGGATGAGTGCGTGAACCCTTGTGTGTGTCGCTCATGCGTTCGTTCCTCTCACCAGTGCGAGTCTCATCTGTGACGAGTCGGACACACTGTCGATGGGCGTCGGGTTCAGCAAGATCGACCACACCTGTGCACACACGTGCGCGCGAGAGACCGATCAATTGGCTCGCTGCGATGTGTGTGGCTGCCTGATCCGGGTCATACTTGAAAGTCCGGCAGCTTGTAGAAGGCGCCCAGCCGAGCGGCGCGGTCCTGGCATCCATAAGTGTACTTGACGTGGTCCGACCCCACCAGCACCACCATCAAGCTCCCAGGATTGTCACGGACGTGCTGCACTGCCTGCAGCCATAGCGCAAGACAGACAGACAGAGGTCAGACGCCCACCGACACCGCTGCTCTGCCTGTCTCTCCCTCACCCCAGCGGCCATGGCTTCGTCGCGCACTATTCGTGCCTGCAGACAGACAGCAGACACAGCGGCCATCCATCCATCCATTCAGTGGCTGCACACTCACTCACCGCAAAGAAGTTGGCAGGAGTGGGGTTGTCGCCGAGCAGGCCCGCGTTGGCGTGATAGCCGTATGAAGGCAACACCACCTCATCAACGTACATCTTGAACCCAGGCCGCCGCGTCTCTGCAAGAGGGATCCAACATGCACCAGCAGACAGACATCCATGTGTACGTGTCCGTGTGTGTGAGAGAGGGTGTTCGTTTCGTACGGTCTCTGAACCCCAGTGGGTCGGGTATGAATTTGTCTCGAGCCTGCTGTCCCAGGCCTTCCAGGCCACTCGAGACCACCGCTGATGTGTCCTCGGTGGACGGATTGAGAGCAATCAGATGCAGACCTGCACAGACAGACGGACAGACAGAGAAGGCGCGGCGTGCTGTGTGTGTGGGGGGGGGGGGTGTGAGTGATCGGCTGGCTGAGTGGGTGACTGACCGCGCTTTTTTGCGAGTTGGAAGATGGGTAGGTATGCGTCGAACGGCCAGGCCCACCGGGTGGCCCACTCGGTCTTGGTATACAGATCAACGTCGGTGTATTTGCCGCTCAGGTAGCCGTCAAGGATGGGCTGGAAATCCACCTGAACCTGCACACACACACACACACACAGAAGGCATACATGAGTGCATCGATGTGTGTGTGGTCTGTTTGGTGAGGTCACCTACCTGTTCCAGTCCGATGGCGATAGGCGGCAGCTTGCCGTTGCTGCCCTTCTGGCGCTCCTCCTCCATCTGGGCTATGAGGGCGGCCTGCAGCCGATGGTCCTCAGGCGCGTTGTGGTGCTCCCCCATCAACACGATCGTGTTGCCGTCACGCACCGACCATCGCTGGACACACAACACAACACAACACAACACACCCACAGGGAGAGAGGAGACAGAGACAGCCACTGAGGTGGCGACGGGGCTGCGGTGGTGAATGCCTGACTCACTGACTGACCCTGAGGGCGTCGGTGCGTTCGTCCTGGCTGAGAGGGGTGACAATGACTGGGAGTGAGGAGGGCTGCTCCCAGCTTCGCGTCTTCACCTGCACCACACAGACCCACACGCGTGTGTGAAGCTCCTCGCTCCTGCACGCTGCGGCTGGCTTGCCTCGAATGCCTTGCTGGTGTCAAGGGAATAGGGGGGGAGGTCCAGCGTCGGCCGCTGCATGGAGGCCGCATCGGCCGAGAGGGCAGGGAGAGACAACAAACCACCTGCAGCCATGCAGCACACACACACACGACCCACAGGAAACGCATGCAACCACATTCAGTGAAAGGTGCCCCAGCTATGTTGGTCCTTCCTACCTGCTAGAGCTGCCGCATACTGCAGGTGCCCTCGACGGCTCTCCGCCTTCGCAGAGCCGCCTTCCCCGAGATCCAGCGCCGCATCCCGCAGTTCACCATCGGCCGTCGGTGCCGCGAATCGGCGATCAATCAGCTGCCTGGGTGCGCTGCTGTGTCTTGGTGTGCTGGAGAGATGCTGCAGGTGAAAGGATGGCCGCCAGCCATGCGCAACCAAGATGGCAAAAGACGCCAGCAAGATGCAGACGAGAATCGACATCTTCAGGAGATCACGCTGCCGCTCAGAGCATACCCAAGGGGAAGGAGACTGGATGTGGGCAAAGCAGCAGGATATTCCGCGAAGGTTTGCGAGCTCAGCGGGGATGGCGAGCTTGAAAATTCGGCTCGAAAATTCCCGACGTTTGGGCGGTTTAGAGGCAGTGAGCGCCTCGCCAGAGTCCGTCATCTCTCATCCATGAGTCGTCTTCGCTGCCGCATGTCGGTTCTCCCGCCCTTCCTGCAGCATTCACGCGGCCTCTTTCGCTCATTCGCCACGGCCGCAGCCGCAGCTGCCCGTGCCCAGACCCTCAGCGCGCCAGCCTCCCAGGGCTATGCCAGATCTCCCTATTCCCCACAGCAGCAGCAGAGGAACACCATCCCTCGTCTGAACGGTGAATCGGTCCGCAGCCCCTACCGGGCGAAGCTAGACCGGCTCGAGACCCCCACTGATGTGCTCAATTGGCTGGCCAAGGAGGAGGGGAGGAGTCAGCCGCTGGACGTCGACGACCTCACGGCCGTCGTAGAGCGGGTGTTCGTGACGATGAAGGGGCGGACCGACAAGAAGGAGCAGGTCCTCGCCAGCGACGACTTCCAGCACCTCCTGGGCAAGTTGGAGACGGCCATAAAGGACGCGCGCGCCTCATCCCTCGCCGAACTAGCCGGCGCACTGACCAAGTTCCGCAACACGGCACTGGGGCCTCTCATGATGGCCGTTTGTCATCGGTTCCTGGACGTCCAGTCGACTGAGGGCAGCCTGACTACTGTGCTTGAGGCCATGGTGGGTGCCCGGTTCGACCGCAGCATGACAGATGAGGTGCACCAGATGAATGCCGCACTTCTGGGCCACGTGCGGGAGGCCATGAGCAGGATCAGGTCGCCGAGGCAGCTGGTGAAGCGGCTGCGTGCTGTGAGCCACCTGGAGCTGGAGAGAGGGGCCGAGGCCGAGCGGGTGGACACCATGAGAGAGATCCTGAGTGGTGAGCAAACAACGCAACGTACATCGACGAGAGGCACCGAGTCCCGACGAATGTGGGTGTGTGTGTGTGTGTGTTTAGCGGTGGTTGGCCAGGCTCATGACCTCTATTGGCAGGAAGCCCTGACGCTGCTCGAGGGCATGGCGGAGACCCGAGTGTACGAGCCTCAGTGCGCCGCACAATGCCGCCAGAAGCTCATCAACGACCTTGACAGGTAGGTCAACCAACCCCCCCCACACACACAACACAGACAGACAGACAGACAGACAGACAGACAGAAGCGCAATTCTCTCTCGGCGTCACTCTCTCCGTGTCACGTGTCACGTAGGCTGAATTTCGCCCAGCTCTCCAAGGCCATTCTCTGCCTCAGTCAGCTGCACGCTCTGAGCATCCGGCACCTGGCCGCTTTCCTCAATGAGGTGTTTGTGCGCCTGCCGAACCCGCCGGCACGGCTGAAGGGCAGGGGCCAGCGGCGCAGCGAGGACGTCCGGTTCGGTGACCTTGTCAACGTCCTGTACGCTGCCGCAATGGGCGGCCGGAGGGCAGGTGAGCGGGCTGAAAAGAGGAGGGCGCAGCGCGAATGTCGGTCGGTCGTTGTTGTTGTGATGGGCATGGTTGTCTATCTATCAGCTCGTCTGGAGAATCTGCCTGCTGCGGTGTTGTCGCGGGCCGGAGACTACCTCAATCAGCCCCTCGTCCTGTCAGAGGTGAGGGACCCACGCCACACGATAGACTGACGACCTGACGACTCTGTCATCTGCCCGGTCGTCGCCCTCCTCTCCTTGTGCAGACTGTCCACCGTCTGGCGTGGTCCATCTGCGCTCTCCAGCTCTACACAGCCACGCCCTACGTGGTCTCCATCAAGCAGCAGATAGGCAGCGGCCAAGACCACGACCTCCACCACTTCGACAATGAGTCCCACACAGAGGAAGGCGAGAGCGAGGGCAGCAGCGCGGCGCCAGAACGAGAGGAGTCGTCGGCGGCAGAGAGGCCCAAGCACGATACTGCCTTGGCGTGCAAGGTGCTGGACGATGCGCTGATCTACCTGGCGAAGCTGGGACCGAACAGGACCAAGGAAGAACTTCTCATGATGCAAGTACGTGTGCACGTGGGCAAGGAGGGAGGGAGGGGAGGGATGAAGAGCTTGTCTGTCCGTCTGTCTGTCTGTCTGTCTGTCAGGACATCACCGCAGCATATCTCGAGGAGGTGTCGGTGCCAGGAGCCGCAACCAACTTCAAGGCAAGAAGGCTCACGGATCCATCACCCATACCCACCCACCCAGAGCACATGCATCCCGTTGTTGTGTGCAGTTCCCGAAGCGGAGGGACCCCGACAACCCCGAGCGCACGCCCGTCTGGTGGCGCAACATCGGCGAGTCGCACGACGTGGAGGAGCGGATCTTCATCAACTCGAAGCTGCTGCAGAACATCAAGCTCGAGCTGGAGAACAGGGGTCACGCTCTCATGGTCAAGATACCCGTCGGCAAGAAGGCAGAGCCCGCGAAAAGGACAACTGAAGAGGAGACACAGGATGGGCAAGAGGGGGATGGTGGCGTGGATGTCGCGACGCAGCGAGAGGCGGGCGACGAGCAGAAGCCGCCAGCAGGAAGGCCTGACTTGCCGGATGTGACAAGGGACATCCGAGGGACCGAAGACAGGCCTGTGTGGTTCCACTCAGTCAGCCTGGGTGAGTGAATGAGTGAATGAGTGAGTGGCTGAGGGAAAAGAGGGGCAAGACACACACGCCGTCGCTTGTTTGTCAGGCTTCCACCAGGTGGCGCTGTACAGCCCGGCACTCAAGACGGCCATCGACATTGAGAGCATCAAATGCCCTGGTAGGCCGGTACACTGTTTATTCCAATACACACACATAGACACATGCTCTGTCGGCGTCTCCCCC